CCATGTAGGCTGCCATCCAAAGCAAGTGTGAATTGGAAGTGCCACATAACTGCTCATTGAGCACTCACACAACGGTGCGCATCCCTTGAGGTCCACCAAAGACAGCTCTGGGTGTGTTATCCTTCCACTCTTCCATCACATGGCACCCCAGAGGTATCCTTGGTGATAAGACCACCAAAGGGGACACAAACACTTTGGAGATAAGCCCCCATACCTCTCTCTTGCCTTCCCAAAGGCAAGGGAGAAGATGTCCCATCGGTGGTGACCATACGAAGGAGGTTGCTTCCCATATTACAACACGCTCACAGGAAGAGCCCAGAGATGCTCACCATGGACAGGCTGCTGTGCTGAAACGGGGCATTGAGCAATCAGTGCTGGAAACCCTGGTGTCTAGAAATAAAAAGCGACTGTTTGTTTTCTAACGCCTATGGGGGCCAAGCAGCAGCAGGTTGGAGGAAGCAGCTGTAGCTGGTGCATGTTGTATTCCCGAGCAGTTCAACTGTGAGCTGGGACCTGTGGTCATCTCTGGGTGCAAAGCACTTGGCCCCCAGAGATGGATGAAGGTATCTGCAAAGCCTCTCTGCTTTTCCAGGTTGAAATGGGCTAGATCTTAGTAGTTTTAGCTGGACCAGTCTTTACCTTCCTTCTCCCCAGCCCAGCAAGCCTGTCCTCTATGCACATTTGCCACCAGGGAACTCCTCACACTGTGCTTCAAGCATGTAGGAGGAAAGGGTAGGAGCTGGTTGTATTCACAGACATTGAATTCTGCTCCTGAAGCCACACTCAGTGATCCTTTTTGTATTTGTTGAAGGGCATGTCATGGAAAACTACTGAAGCACATTATGAACACTAATAACACGGAGGGGTATAACCAGGCTTATTTTCTCCCAAGGACAATGCTTCATGCCTTGAGTCATGACAAATCTCAGAAGGCTGGCTTTGAACCCAAATAACACCCCAAGTCAGTGAAGAAAACATCAGGTGGGGCCTGGAGTGCTTATCAAGTCTTTTGCAGCACCCAGAAATCAAAGCGTTCCATGAACACCAAGGAGTAGATGTCTTTATGCTGGAAGACCTTAGAGACAATCAATAGAAAATAGAGGATCAACAGAAAATTCACCCTTGTTGTCTGCCCTGGTCCATCCTTCTCTGATGGCTGATACAAGAATTGGGTAAGCACACTGCTCCTTCCCAAACACACTTGAGGAGAACAGTGTATCTCTTGCAAGTAAAGGTCACTCTTCCTCCATGGAAGCCTCCTTCCCATGAGAAACTTCTGCTCTGCCCTTCTGTTTCTGAAGGTAGGAGTTTACTATGGGCATGTCCCAAAAGGCACCTTCCCATGTCCACAGGGATTGCAGCCCTCTCCAGAGGAGCAGCAGGACCTGGCACCTGGTTTGGCCTTCACAGGAAGAAAGGAAGTATCTCTATATTAGGCAGGAGTTTCATGGTATTGCTGCTCCAACCCAAATACATGCTCCTACAGGTGTAGGAAACCACATTTGGGCAAGCAGCATGCATTCCAAGGAGGACAGCCTTTTATCTTCTCATTCCTGATACCCAGGATAATTAAGTGTAGAGGATGCAGCCTGTGCCACAGATGCAGTGTGCATCCCCAGGATTTGGAGGCAGGACCCTCAGATGCAGACACAGGACACTGTTAGTTCGTGACAACAGATAAGTCATTGATGAAGAAGCGCCAACACCAGGCACAAGGTTTCACTTCAGTGAAGTGATAGAGAAGAACCCAAGTGAACAGAAACCAACGAAAGTATTTGAGTCCCAGTCACCCAAAACCACTGAGACTTGACACAGATGCACTTCGCAGCTCACCCAAGGCCAGGCGAGGCGCAGAGGTGGGGTGAGGATGCTCCCGGAGACCACCAGCACCAGATTCCCAGCCAAGGTGATGGGATCAGCAGTGTACTGCTTGCCTGGCCAAGGAAAAGCATGAGGGGTGGAGGAATTCCTCCTGGCTTTGATGAAGTCTGGGCCAGAGCATCCCTCTGTGCCATCTGGCACAGTTGCCTCAAACCTGCTCCTATCTGATGGAGTACCTGGTCCTTTGTGAGTAAGCATCAGCCTTGAAGGCTTCTCCTGCACTGGAAATGCAGCTTGGGACAGGTAATACCCAACACTGCAAGTCCTACCCGAGCCCTGAGCAAACAAGGGGACCCCTGCCCACAGTAATGCACCCCAACGTGTTATCCTTCCTGCATCCCACCTCTGCCACGTGATGCTGTGCCACAGTTTCCTTCCCATTCCCTCTACACCCACTGGTTGCCTCCTCTTGGACATGGCTTGGAAGCTGTTGGGGATGGGAACGGTGCTGCTGGTTTTGTGGAGCGAGGCACAGAAGGGACCCAGACTGAGCTCTGGGCTCTGGTGGTAGCACTAAAAACAAGCGGTGCAGCCGCATCCAACAGAAGGCACCTCTGCTCCCTGCTGCTTCTCCGTGGTCTTGGGGTGGAAATTGAAAAAGCCCTGAGGATGCAGCACGTGGCTCCAGGCAGCTCAGGATGGTGGTTTCTGAGGAAGGACTCGCACCAGCACATGTAGGGAAACCGCAAGTGGCATTTATGGTGTCCCAGCCTGAGCCCGTCATGCACTTCACAAGAGGGCACACGTTATTCCAGCACAGACCATAGCAGGTCCTTGCTGCCAACTCACCCATGGTGGGGCGAGTCTTCCTCATGCTCTGAGGGAGCAACAAGGCCTGGGACAGGATTAAACCCCATGGGGACACTGTGGTGGTCCTCAGGAGCAGAGAAAGGCTGGGAGGGAACGGTGATGGTGCACCTACAAGGTGCCATCTCCATCTCTGTGACCAAGCATCCCATTAGTGTCCTGGTGCATCCTCAAAAATCTTGGTCCACACCATCTCCACTCACAAGCACCAAAGCCACAGGCTGTAATGCCAGAAAGGGATGTGCATAGGGGAAGAGGCAGGACTAAAAGCATCCCACCAACACGGTTGGGGCACAGAGCACATATTAGCCATAGAGAAGGCTGCTCATTGTATAAATACCTTGGAATGCAGGGCCCCCCTTAACCCTAAAATATAACCCTAAAATTCCAGCTGGGTCTCCCATCTCAGAGCACCTTTAAGTTACTCTATGTGTGTCTCGCTGTGCACCTACTGTTCCTTGGGACTGTAACCTCAGGGGCTTGCCCTGGAGGGATTCAGGGGGGTCAGCTTCAAGTCCCACAAGAGCTAAGCACTTAATTCTTTCAGGGAGTCTTCATTGGGAAGACCAAGCTGCTCATCCAAACCACTTGTAAATCCTGCAGATAGAACAGCCTCCTGGCAGAAGTGAGCTGTCGTCAACTCACCCCAAGTCCAGGTGTGTAAGTCACCTTAAACATGCCCTCCCCACACACTCATGCTTGGAAAGATCTCACCCAAGCAGGGAAGACAGCTTTGCATCCATCTCCTAAGGACAGATGATGCTCCAGCTGCTTGGATCTCCAGGGATCCCCTTTGCAAGTGCCTACATCACCCAGGTACGTTGGGTACCAGGGTCACATCATGAGGACTAGTACCTCCCGGTCTGCTCCCGTTAGCAGGGCTGACCTAGAGCAGGTGGCAGAGCCTGCTATGGAGATGGAGCCAGAGGTCATGTTTGTCCTTCACAGTGGGCAAGAGACGGATCAAACGTGGTCCTCCCACCCCTTCCAGAGCCTCTTGATGCATTGCCCCAAACACAGCCCTGACATGAAGGCAGGCGAGTGTGCAGATGCTCTGCCTTCCCCGCTGCACCACTGACCTCATTCTACAGTGGTGTGACTCCGTTTTTGCTCTTGGCTCTGAACAAACACCACCATCCCCACTAAACAAGGCCCTGTGAGAAAGCTGGATGGAAAGGACAGCGGGGAAATGCTCAAGCAGGCAATAATGGGAGGAGGATCATAAATAACTGCCCCCACCCCATGACCCAGCTCAGTGCTGTGGAAGATGAGCAGGGATCTACCTTCACACCCCCTAGAATTAAGGCTCTACAAATGACACCCTTTTCTTCCTCCATTGCATTACAGCATTTTGGCTCCATCCCAGAGATGGAGCGAGAGGGAGGTGACAGCAGATTAACACAGACCCCACTGCAGTGAAGACCAGGGCAGGAGCAAGTTGGAAATAGCAGACTCCCCCCATCAGGTTTGAGCTCCCACTCAGCACAACCAAGAACCACATTGCAAGAGAAATACAAAACATAGCACTTTAATTGAAAGGGGGATAAAAAAATACAAAAGAGTCAATAAACCACAGGCATAAAATAAATAGGCAGCTGAGTAGCACGCACACATGTGCAGTCCTGGTTTGTGTCAGCTGCATGAACATGCTTTCTGTCAACCCACAAAGCATGTTAATGAGGATTTACACATGGATGCCACTGCCTGGTCATGCTTGGGAGAGACCAACACATGCGTTTGGGAGGGTGAAGTTAAACTATTCAACTAAGCTGTGATCTTGAAAATAAAAGATATTTAATATTTATATAAACTCTGTCTCTGGTTAGGAAAAATTAAGATTTCTAAACTCTCATATTCAACATTCACATATATAATCTGTGCATTTCCAAATTTCAAAACACTTCAGTATTACATATAGCAAAACTAGAGGGATTTGAGACGGTCCTGCTTGGAAGGCATACCCTGGCTTCCATCAGCAGGAGCCTTTGGCGGGGGGGGAAGCTGATTTACAGAAAGAATTTCCTATATTGGAGCATCTTAATTTCCTATATTGGAGCCTTCTGAAGAGTTATCCCCTAATAAATTTCCTATATTGGAGCCTTCTGAAGAGTTATCCCCTAATAAATTGCTACTCTCAGAAAGGCCTGAGCTGCAAACCACTAGAGCAGGGCGTTATAGCTGTTGAGCTTTGGATCTGCTTGACTGGCCATGAACAAAGACAACACAAAGCCAGACACTTCCTCCTCCCTCTGCCATTAGCTACAGACAATGGGACTACCCTACTGGGTACAAGTCATTTCTATCAGCGAAGGTCATGTTGGCAGGATGGATGCTGAGCACCCAACCTACAGCAATTTTTACTGTTGTATCTATAGACTCTGGACTGGAAACAGCAGACAACAAAAGCCAACTTTCCAGAAAGGGAATTCAGGTACTAAGAGGACCAAACTGGGCCTAGATCACCCCAAACCACCACGCTATCACTGCAGAGAAGGAGGCTCAGACAGCAATCTGCTGGTTTTCCCTGAAGAGCGGCCACTGGTGCGTTGCACAGATGTCCTGGAAGATCCTGTACACTTGGTCATGCTGCGTCTCATCAGCTATGGGGAGCATGGGGCTGCTGCTGCAGGTCTTCCCAGCCTCCTCCACCACCTGCCTGACACACAGCTGCTCCACCTGCACAAGAAGAAGTCATGAAGACCACAAAAAGAGTCATGGAGACACTGAATGAAGAGGAACCTCTTTGGGCATCTCCCACTGATGGCATCCACCCGCATCAATCCAAGCGGTAGGGAAAAGCGTGGGAGAGACACAGCAGAGCCATTGTGCCACCAGACATGGGTGGCCAGGTCCAGCCAGGCTAACAGGTCCAACTGCCCAAGCCACCTTGGCGCAAATACGTCTAGAATAGGAACTCCTCTCCCAGCAGAGCTATAGGGAGGTAGGAGACAGCACATGGAAAGCACTGGTGCAGACACACAAAGCAAAGGGGGTGACCAGGGCAGAAAGATGTGCAGGAGGCAAAGGACCAGTCTCTGAACTTGTAAATCAGGACCTCACAGACTTGGTGGGTCTGTTTGCTCAAGGGCAGATGCAGCACCCTCCCTGTGTCCTCCTGCCATATCCCTGCTTCCACAGCCTAGTTAGCCCAAGGGGGTCTCACACTGGGTGCAGGCTTCAGAAACACCCTGGTTATTGCCCTAAGGCTTTGAGATCCCAGAATTGTTCCAGCTCCTCCAGGGAGAATTATCTGGCCAGAGCCATGGGGACTGCACCTCTCATCCCATCTCCTCCTTCACCCTCCTGAAGGTTTCCCAACCCCACTGCTGTCCACCATGGTTGTTCACCACATTTATTGGCTGTTCAGCTTGAAGCTTTCACTTAACCATTCCAGGGATTTATTCCACCATTTCCTAAATGGGAGGGCACTGGTCCCAGTGCCAAAAGGCACAAACAGAAGGAAGAGAACAGATTTCTAGGACTTTAAAGAAAGCTTTTTCCATCTGGGAGCTTTGTTTGCAAACGTGATCTACCCAGATCAAGCAGTCTCTGACAAGCAACAGCCTAAAGCACCTCTCAGGAGGCTGTGGATAAGCAGATACCCATGCCATGCCACCCCATCAATTCAGGCACCCAAATGACCACGGTTCTGGGGGATGAAGCTAGAGCCCTACTTGAGAGGGGAAAAAAAAGGGAATATGGTCCAGACAAGGTGGGAAATCCAGCATCGCTGCTCCAAAGGGCAGCCCTCCATACCTGCACAAGGATGAGCTTACACCGCAGTGGCACTGCATCTGGGAACTCCTCTCCGAAGCACAGCATGACTCTGCTCTCTGGGAAGCGGCCCTCGTTGTTGTAATACTGCTGCAGCTCTGCAAGGAGAGAACAGTTGGAAGCTGCCTGCCAGCCTTTGCTATGTGGGTCTGGGACCAAGCACCCTGCCATAAAGGAAAGCCGTGGGCTCAAGAGAAGCTGCTTTGTTGTGCAAAAGCCTCCAATTGGGATGCATTCACCAAGTGATGCAAAACATCAGGTTATTCCTCCCTAGATCTGGTAGCATCAGCTACTCATGCAGAACACTTGGGTAACCCATCAGTGATGGGCAGGGACGACTTCAAAGTGCTCTAAGGCAAAAGGGCTCTACCCTTCCAACCCCACCGAGTGGATAAAGATGGGAATGCTCCTACAAACCTCTAAAGAACGTGCTGGTATCAAATATCTTCACCACCTCATCCCGGTCCAGCTTGTTGGGCCTGTCCTTGTAGACCATGGTGTTCCCACTCCAGAAGACCCTGCCCTGGCAGAGCCTCTTGATGAAGATGCCCTTCTTGTTGCTCTGCAGCAGGACCCCCCTCTCCAAGTGCCCAAAGAGCTTCTTGGTGATCTGCTTCTGGCGGTCATTCTGGATGGCATCAGCAGAGGGGAACCGCACGTGCTCCAGGCCATCCGGGGCATAGAGCTTCTCCCCATGGCTGGAGGGCTGGCTGAGCGAGAGCCGGCAGCCCTCGCTGCACGTGGTGATGCGCCCCACCAGCCTCCCGCTGTAGAAGAAGCTGATCACCATTGGGGAATAGCCTGGGGAATGATGGGGATGGGAAACACCATCAGCGGAAGACAAACCCTGCCTGCTCTTCACTGCAATGCACAAACCCTGCGAGAGCAGCACAATTTCAGGGGAGAGAGTCTCACTTGATGGAGGAGATCTCCATCATGGAATCAACCAGGCTGGAAAAGACCTTTAAGATCAAGTCCAACCATTCCCCAGCACTGCCAAGGCCACCACTAATCCATGGCACTGAGGGCCTCGGCTACATGGTTTGGGAACACTTCCAGGGACAGCGATTCCATCACTTCCCTGGGAAGCCTGTTCCAATCCTGATGACCTTGTTAGAGGACTTCTCCATCACCCAGGCTGGTAGCAGTGCTGATCAAGCAAGAGCTCCTGATACCAAACCCCTTCCTCTTGCCTTTGCTTCACACTTCCCTTACTGTGGGCAGATCTCTCCACGCCAAAGACATGGTTGATCCCAGGGCAACTCCCCGTGCCAGCGCCATGGCCACAGGACACAAAACAGGATGTGACCCTACTCTGCATGCAAAGCCTGTGCATACTCAGGAGGGTGCAGCACCCCCAAAGCAAAGCCTCCCCCAAAAAGGCAGGGAGCAGTCAACTTCTGCCACAACACACATGAGGCCGAACCCCAAAGAGGCATCTGATGGCCACAGTCTAGAGCCAGGCTGAGGACCTGCCTTACCTGAATGATGCTGCTCATAGCTGGAGTATCCATTCATCGGTGGTAATGCTGTGGGTAAAGAGAAAGCCAAACTAAGCCTACATGCCCAGCTCCCAAATCCCAGTCCCCTTCTCTCCCCCCAGCCTCCTGGTTTTCTGTGCCAGGCACATCAGACTTCCCAGCTCCCACACAGGAGACACCAATAAACACTTCCAGGTAGACTTAATCTTGTGCAGTACCTGATTGATTGCCTGGTACCAAGCACAGTGCTCTTAATTAGTACTTTAAGCATTAATAAGAAAGATAAAATACAACCATTGTCCATTACACATCGTCTCCTGCCTCAGCCATAAATCTCAGTCCCATCAGACATCATATAACAGCTACTTACCAGGGCTGGGCTGCTGCACCCACCAGTCAGGTATTGGGGGGTTTCTGCAGGTCTCCTGGGGTGGTGAGGGGCTTCTCTTGATGACTCCCAGGTATTCATCTACACAGGGGGACTGTGAGACAGCAGGCACTGAGATCAGAGCAGCTTCAATACCTCAGGCAGCCACTGACCTACACTGAAACACTTGCAGGGCTCAGAGAGGGTCCAAATGGCAACACCAACAGGATGCCAACGAATTTGGTTAGAAAGATCAAGTCTGGCCTTCCCAAGGCTGTACACTCAAATAACACCCTCCAGGGCTACTGAGCAGAAGCAGCCCAATGCAACACGGCCAAGAAGGGGATCAGAGTGCCAAACCAGCCTCCATCCCCCATCAAAGGTCTCACTGGCCCAGATGCAAATAAAGCACGAGGTGCTCATCACAACCATGTGCTGGCTCACATGAATGAGCTGCAATACCCAGTGCTGCTCTCCCCAGTGCTCAGCAGCCTGAACTTTAGGAAGGCAACAAACACTATTAGGCCATTGGACACAAGCCCACCTCCAGCAAGTCACCCACAGTGAAGGCTTACGTCTTTCATGAGATCATCGATTGCAGAGGAATTGCAGTCCATCTCCCTGACATCATTCAGGCTGCTCCCATTGGCAATGCCTGCTTTGCCTGCAAAGGGAGGCTAGGATGCAGTGAGGACACACACACACCCCCCACACGCAGCTACAGCTTGTGTCACCACTGGGCTTCAGAAACCCTTCACCCCATAGAAGTCATGAAACTGAGAACCACAGGACAGCAGAGCCACATAACAGCACCTCAGGGAGGTCACAGCCCATTCCAGAGCTGCGTTTGCAAAACCCAGCTTGCAGCCCATTGCCCCACTGCATAGTGACCAACAGTGAGGCAAATCGAGTCTGGCCAGCAGCAGAGACAGAGCTAGAGCAGAGGAGAGGGATGGGGTTTTTCTGAGCACCCCAGAGACTGGGCCTGCTGCTTCTCCTTTTTGAGCCAAGCGCAGTCATGCTGCTGGTGGGAACCTGCAGTGCCATTTGCATAGCAGCAGCACGTCCCCCCATGTGAATGTGGCTGAAGGGGACTGACAGGCTAAAGGCAGATTTCCTGACAGCAACACTTCTTAAGTATTTTACACTTAAAAGGAAAAGCACACACACACCCACAACCACAACGAGATATACTTAGTGTGACCTGTGCTGTACCACACAGCACAGCAGCAACTGCTCTCTGCTGCTAATCACTGCTGCCAAGAGAAGGGATTTACTGCAGCTCCTGGACATCCACCTAGGGCAGGCATTGGGAAGACAAAAGGATGGGGCTCAAGTACCCTCATCGAGGGGGTGATGACATTGGATTTGCCTCTGCACCATCTTTACCGGATGGATGCTCACAGCAGTGGGGTTGAACTAGATGATCCTAAGGTCCTTTCCAACCCTAACTATTCTATGATTCTGTGATGCTGCAGTTATCCCTGATTTCCTAAGCAGCTGTTTAGGGGGATAGAAAAAAGCCTGCCCTTCCTTGCTACCACAGTGACACAGGGGACATGTGCAAAGCAGGACAGCAAAGTGTCATAGCACAAGAGCAGAGACTGGCCAAGAAGAAGCAGATGGCTCAGATATAGATCAGCAGCAGGAGTGTGGCTGCTCAAAGCACCCACGAGGGTCAGTCATTTATCAGGGCACTCACTTTTCTGTTCCTCCTCTGGCACGATCCTGTAGACCTTGTAGGGCTCAGAGATGTCGAGCTGGGACCTGTCTGTCACCTCCTCAAAGTCAGGGCTCTTGTTCAAAGCGCAGCGCAGCCGCGTCTTCCACGTAGCCGGTTCCGCTTTGTCACCTTCTTTGAACTTGCCTTTGAAAACAGCCCAGGCCTAAAACAAAGCAACCACCACCACAGAATAACCCTCCATGCGAGCTCCTAGACTGCAGACACGTGCACACACAGGGACAAGCATCTGGGTGAGGAGCAGCACCACCTGCCCCAGTGATGCTCGCAGGTGCGCAAAGGGCTGCAGCACCCAGGCTTTAGAAAGCAGAAGTCAAGATCATCAAATGTGGCTTCATCTCAAACCTACAGGTCAGGAGATGCTGGGGATTTGAGGAATCACTGTAGAAGTAGTGATAACACTGATAAGACCTCAATTAAAATAAAAATAAACCTAATTTTCCAGCTTCTGGCTAATAAAGGAGAGCTGCTTTCTTTGTAAGATCAGAACATGCTCTTGGTGGGAGAATACATTTTATCATTGAAAGGAGATTGAAAAATTGGGGGGTTTCTACACATATTTACTTTTAATACATATTTCTATATTTTCAAATAGCTGAATTCAATGCCATCCTCATAACTCAGTGCTCCTGAACCAACCACTAACTAGTGGTCACTGCCTTGAAAGTGAACTTGCTCACCAGTACAGATATTTGGAAGTGGGGGCAGAGGAAGGCAATTCCTGACCTTTTTGGTTCAGGATGGAATTTTCCAGTTTTTCCCCAAAAGTGGAAACACCTCCCTCCACCTTCAGTGACATCCAAGACTTCCTTCCCTCCTGCAAAGTCCTTTTTGTAAATCCAGCCTTTTATCAGTAATAGCCTGGTAAGAAGTTTAGAGCAGGTTAAAAGGAGCACATCCAGCTCCTCCTCCTGTCAAACCTAAAAGTGGTACCAACATTTGGCAAAATGCAATAGATACCCCCAAAAGAGCCTGGGAGACCAATTGTGGGGTGAAGCATCTCTTCCAAAGGTTAGAGATGCAAAAGCTATAGACAGCATGGACATCTTGCACCAGCAGCACTATCAGCACTATAGAGGTCAGGAACTGTTGATAAAACACATTAACCATCTGGCCTTACCTTGAAAATAGAAGCATCCACCTCCTGGTTGTAGTCCTGCTTCCCGGCATGTTTCCATGGGATACGGAACATGGTTTTCTCCTCATTCTCCCAGATAAGCCCAGGGTAGAGCTCACTGTCGATCTGCTCAATGAGCCACTGCCGCAGCCGCCGGCCACCGTTGCGGTCGCACATCCTGCATGGAATGAGAGATCCAAGCCCCGTTAGCTCCCCCAGGATTGTCCCAGCACAGCTGGGGTACAAGGGATTGTGTTGTGCTCGTGTCCCATGTCTGCACAATAAAACATCCCCCTGCTTCTTTCATAATGAAGGAAAAAAATCAAGGCAATTTACTCTTGAGTTATTACATCTTCCTCCCGCTCTATAATCAAAGCTCTGCTCACAAAAACAGGGTGATGGTGCTCTCCTGCAGCAACAAAAGGAGTAAGTTACATAGGAAGCAGATGGAAAGGGTCTAAAGCACCCGTTTCTGCTGTCAACTGAGCAAGTGACTCTGGGCAGGTCATCCCAGGGCAGCCACCCATTAGCATCTACAGGAGACAGGGATGGGGCCACACTACCGACCCTCTCCAACAGAGGATGGATGCCAAGATGTGGGATGAAGTCACACCCCTATTACTGGGGACCTCTGGTCATTTTGAGCCAAAATCACTGAGTAACTTAATGGAGGAGCCATGGGAAAGCTTCTCCTGCCCAACTGAAGGCAAAGCACCAGGGATCAGCCTTCCTGGCATCCTCCATCACCACTATGGTAAGACCTATACAGACTTTGGGAGCTGGTGGCCTGGCAGGAGGGCTCAGCAGCCCCAGGACCAGCTTCGAGGCTCAAAGCCCTGCTCCAAGTTTTACAGGACTGCCTTTCCCCAGTTTCCTTTTCTTTACTGCCCCACAGGAAGGTTTTGGGGGTGAAAACAAGGACATTTCCAGTACAGCCCGTACTGGTGGTCCCTGCTTTGCTCACACCAGCTCAGTGCCACCAACTTCTGTCCCTTCCCCATTGCCCTACTGCCATCAACAGCACACCCTGTTTTTGGGGATGGTGAGAGCTAATACCATCAGCCAACAATGCTGGATCCCAGATGCCCCTCCAAAGCTGGATACCCCCGAGCACATGTCACAGATGGGAGCAGACAACCTCTGTGCATGCTCTGGATTTATACCAAGACGAAGAGCCTCAGAAACACCAGTTGAAATGAGACTCTCTTCTAGACCTGCAAGCTTTCTAAACAGCTTGCTCCCATCATCACTGGCAGAAGCTAGAGCTCCATTCCCCTCCATGGAAGGTTGCCCAAGCCCTCCAGGCTGGCCCCAGTGACACAAATCAGCACACACAACACAGGCAAAGAGCCCTCCCTGCAGCATGCAGGACACCAGCCCCACACCAGGACAATCAGACAGAATATAGGGCTGGCAAAGGCAGCACTGCACCATCAGGCCCATGGGGATGGGTTCATCCCAACTAGTTTGCGTTGGAAGGGACCTTAAAGCTCATCCAGTTCCAACCCCTGCCACAGGCAGGGACCCCTTCCACTAGAGCAGCTTGCTCCAAGCCCCTGTGTCCAACCTGGCCTTGAACACTGCCAGGGATGGGGCAGCCACAGCTTCTCTGGGCACCCTGTGCCAGCGCCTCAGCACCCTCACAGGGAACAGCTTCTGCCTAAGAGCTCATCTCAGTCTCCCCTCTGGCAGGTTCAAGCCATTCCCCTTGGCCTGTCCCTACAGGCCCTTGTCCCAAGCCCCTCTCCAGGTTTCCTGCAGCCCCTTCAGGCACTGGAGCTGCTCTAAGGTCTCCCCTTCAGGAGCCTTCTCTTCTCCAGCTGCCCCAGCCCAGCTCTCTCAGCCTGGCTCCAGAGCAGAGCTGCTCCAGCCCTCACAGCATCCCCACAGCCTCCTATGGCTCCGCATCCCTCCCGTGGCCCCGCACCCGGTACCCGGCACCCCCATCCTCACCCTCTCCACGCCGCCGCACCAACGCCTCGCCCGCCTCTACCGCCCTTTATAGGCCACCGGAGGGGGGCGTGCCCACCACACCCACACCGCCAGCAGCCCAGCCAATAGCCAGCCTTACACCCCTCTCTCCCCGCTCCCACCCCACCCAATGGGGAGGTGCCTCCGCCTTCCGCTGTCCAATGGGAAGCCGCCGCCTGGGCATGCGCGGCTGGCTCCGCGTTCTCCGAACCGCGAGCCCTTCCGAGAAATCAGCTGCTTGGAGGGGGCGTGGTCTAGGGGGGGGGGCGTGGCACGGAGAGGCGGGGTTTGGGATGGGGCGTGGTCAGCGAAGGGGCGGGGCCTCCACGTGGGTGTCGGGGGTCCGTCGTGTCCTGCCTGTCCCCCGCTGAGCGCACGGTGCCCGGGGTCGGGCCGGCCACAGGCACAGACCGGGCTCCGCAGGCTCCCATTGATCCCTGCCCATTCCCAGACCAGTTCCACACCAGTCTCCCCAGTCCCAGACTGGTCCTTCCCCAGTCTCCCATCGATCCATCCCCAGTGCTAGACCAGTTTCCCCAGTCCCAGAGTTCCCAACCAGTCCATCCCAGCCCCAACTGGTTCATCCCCAGTCCGAGATCGTTCCATCCCCAGTCCAAGTTCAGTCCATCCCCAGTCACAGACCAGTCTCCCAGTGCCCCATCAATCCATCCCCAGTCCCCAACTGGTTCATCTGCAGTCCTAGACCTGTCTCCCCAGTCCTAGATCAGACTATCCCCAATCCCAGACCAGTCTCCCCAGTCCCTGGTTGATTTACCCCCAGTCTCAGAGCAGTTTCCCCAGGCCCTGATCAGTCCATATCCCAGAAATTCACAGTTCCCTCCTGGATCAGCCCCAGCTCCTGGACCAGCTCCGGGTCCAGATCAATCCCTCCCTCACTGCTCCAGCTGGGATCAGAGCCCTGGCAGAGCACGGCAGCCCCAGGCCATCCCCATCATAACTAGCTGGGGCTGCTGGATGTGATGGAGAATAAAGGATCCTCTGCAGCCTGACCTCAGAGGGGTTTTTTTTCGGGATTACCAGATTACACACACATTTCTTGGAAGAAAACCATAATTACTCCCATGTGGGTAATAGAGAGAAATGGGAAATGTATGGAGCTGCGCAGCTGCTACGATAAAAATAATGATCTAAGGTACACAACCTTTACTGTCATTCCTAACAAATAACATCTGTAATAACCCTTGTTTTTAAACACTCAACTGATCCTAATCAGATCCCCCACACCCCCATAAGATTTGAGGGGAGCCAAAAACTTCTCTTGCAATCAGACATGGTTGGGAGGGTTATTTTGGGTTTTTTTTTACTGAGAAACAAGTTCAGCTTTGCAGAGGGAGCTGCATCTCTGCCCCTCATGGCACCAGTTCTATGCGGGACAGAGACCCCCCCCCCAGTTAAAAATGGTTTATTTTGTAGAAGTCGTGAGAAATTTAGGATATTTCCAAGGGGAATTGTATAATCCAGCTTCTCCATTGACTAAACGGGACCCTGCTGCCAGCGGGGTGATTCCATCGCCTTTGCCTTCGTTCTGGCTTCACAGCTTCATGGGCAGCCTGGAAAGGCAAAATGTCACCTCTGTGGGGTAAGGGGAGTCCCAGTGGGAGGAGAATAAAACAACAACCCCCTTAAAACGGGGGTTTTGGCCGCTCCTGGTGCCGGCCGGCTGGAATGGAGCAGGATGGCAAAGGGAAAAGTGAAACACGCCCTGGGGCAAGCGGCAGAGCCGGGAATTTCTTGTAAACCACTTCCCTGTGTGTGAGCAGCACCATGGGAAGCTCATTTACACTTGAACACAGCGGTTTCCCCTGCAGCAGAGGCACTTGGCAAAGAGAAATCATTGGGGTTTACCTCCTTCGGGGCTTGCCTTCCAGTGCCGAAAGCCCTAAAGCCAACACAGGTGGCACTGATGTAGGCCACAGTGTAAAAATACACATATTTGCCTGGGACACCCTCAAAACTCAGGGGGAAATTGGGTTTAGGAGATGCTGTTTGGGCAATAGGTGCTGCTGTGATGAGGGCACGGGTGATGCTGCATCTTACGGGGAGCATCCCTTGTGATTCCCCAAATCAGGGCATTTTCCCAGGGGTAACAGCTGCTTTGGGGCTGCAGTTCCTCTGGGAATGTTTGAGCCCTGGATGGCCAGTGGTGGGATGGGAAGGGTGAGGTGACAGAACAGCAGCGCTGCATGGAGGTTATCACACCTACTGCAAATCTAACCCCTGCTTATCACAGATCTCCAATGACTTCCTATTTACACCAGAAACCAACTTTCTTCTCTTTTCCTCTTTTTTTTTTCTTCTCCTATGTGCAAGTTCTATTTTTTCTGTTTCCTAAAATGATAACAGAGGCATTAAATCCAATATTGACCCAGTTTGCTCAACTTCCCTTCTGTCCACTCCACCAACAGCATTTATCCATTTATGGTCCTTGATCGCATTAATTGCTTTGCTTTCCCATGTGTGCTGCAGGCACAATCCACTGTGTTCTTCCATGCAGAACTGCAGCCAAAGGGACCCTTTCTCAACCTAAAAAGACAGGGAACAGCATCCACAGCCCTTTTTTTCCTGGAATCCTATGTTATGGCTAAACACTGAGTCCTTAAAACGTTTAATTTTGCTGGTGGTTCTCATCAAGAAAATAGGAAACAGGACATAGCAGCATGGCCATGTCAGTCCATCTCCCCATTCCCACCAAAAGCACCACAAATCAAAGCCAATTATCCTTATGGATTTAATCACTCTCCCCTTTATTAGGAGCTTGTCCCCTGGCACTCTCATACTTAAGTACCCAGAAATTGAGGGAATTTCTGGAAATACTTTGCATGCTTTTTTTTTTTTTTCCTCAGAATAGATATTTTTGAGAAGCCAAGCAAGGTATTTATAGCAAAAGGCAAAGAAGAGTTAAGGGTTTAAATATAGAAGGGCTGCATCTATGGATTAGGACCTTCCTTGCAGGGTGGATATGAAGACCTTGGCAAAGGAAGCCCACACTTTGGAAAATGATGGGTTTGGGATGAAAAAGGGACAAAGTCATCATCTTCCAATATTAAACAGGCAGTTAGATAGGGACAACGTTAAATTGGGCTGAGGGTCAACTGAGTCCAACGGAGCAACCGGCTTCTTTTGCAACCAGGGACATTCAGATTGGGCAGCAGGGGAAGCCCAAACCTACTCTGGCTGCAGGGATGGAGGCGGTGGGGACTGGAGGCCTCCAGCACAGCTGGATTTCCCCCTTCACTGGGTAAAGAAAGATGCCAGATGGACATGTGCCAAGGATAGGCTGGACCAGGAGGGACATCAGCAGCACAAAGAGCCTCCAGCCCCTTATCCCCATCCCCTGGATGACAACCAGGGTTCAGCAGCACTTCCACATCCCAGCACTCATCCCTCCCAGGGCTGCATCAGCTTCCAGCTCCTCTGAAAAGCAGGGTACAAGGTGACCACCTATTCTATGACGCTATTACATCTCCCCATCTCATCCCACCCTGGTTTCCAAGGTATGCATTGGCATCCCTGTTCGCAGCCAAAGGAGCCCTGGGTACCATGCTGCTGGAGATGGGGTTTGCTGCTGCTCTGGGTGATGGGAAAGGGGAAACAGATCAGATCAAGACACTGCCATTAATTTACTGCCTTGCCATGGGGAACACACAGAGCTGGCAGCCAATGGGATGGTCTGTGAGTCCTGACCCCCCTTGCTCCAACCCTCGAACCACAGCTGAGGTTGGTGCTGGCTGCTTTCTGCCCTAGACATGAACCCCCAGAGGCACTTGGCAAAGGGAAGACCTGGTTTTCCAAGCCCCGGGGCCAATGTCTGCCTCTGAGCAGCCAGAAGCTTATCTGTTCATCCATCTGCTTCTGCTGGTGCCACCTGCATGGTAGGGGAGCGGGTAGGTGGGAGCTGGAGAGTGGAGCCAGGAGCAATCCCTGCTCCCCAGCTGCTGCTCCTTCTGCCTCTCCTCCTGCTGGGCCAGCAAGCTCTGCAGCTCCTCCTGGTCCTTAAATGGGTTCCTGCCATAGTCACGGTGGATCCAAGCACGATACTGCCAGGAAAAAAGGCAAGAGAGGTTGTTAGAGCCATTGGGGGATGAGACACCCCCAGGCTGAGAGATGGGGCTTGCAACAGCAATGCCCACAGCATCCCTGTGAGGCCGGGGCATCCCCAGCCACAACCAGCAAGCAGAAAGGCCCCAGTTTCTTAGGAGCTCACACACCACAACCACATCGTATGAGAGATGCAACAGTTCCCCCCTCAATGAGTGCTTCCCGCATCCCCAGCCCGGCACAGGCAGACCCGGGAAGCTGGCAGCATCCTCACGCCAGCTGCAGCTTTATTTACTTTACATTGCCAAGAAGCTGCTGCTGTTCCCTTGTGTGCCTGAATTCCTGTAAGGAAAGCTTACAGAAACAGCCTCCAGAAGCTGGACTCGCTGCTACAAGCTGCACGGCCAAGTCAGCTCCTGCATGTAGAGGCAGGTTTGTTTGCAAAGCACCTTGTTCCCTGCATTGGTTGAGGGGTGCCTCCTTTCCTCCCTTTATCCCTGCATCCAGCTGTAAAGGCTGCAGGAGCATTTCAGTGCCTGGGGATGAGCTGGCGGCAGGATGAGGTCCAGAGGTGGGTGGGAAGTGAGAGATGGTCCATGGAAATGCTTCCTGCTTCCAAGGAGAATCCAATGGGCTCAGACTGCATCACATGGGAGCATGGGCAGGAAGGGGCAGCTCTGCTGGACCCCACCAAGGCTTTGCCATCTTCCTAAGGAGCTGGGAACCAGTTGCTCCAGTGAGCAGGAGTTACTGGGATGAGTGGTAGGAATATATCCAGAAAAGCCCTTAAGGATGGAGGACATGGAGTCGGGAATGTGAAACCTGTGGATGCAAAGGGTCAAGAGAGGGAGCCAGGGTAGCACTGGGACAGGCACAGGGGAACCAGAGGGAGGGGGCAAGCAGCACCCCCAGGGTGAGAGGTCCCTGCAGTGGTTCCAGCTTCCCGGGGTGCCATGGCAGCACCCCATGGCCAGGAGCCATGGAGCTCATGGCAAAGGTGAAGGATGCAGGAAAATGGGATGGCTGGTTCAGCCCCATCCTGCCAGCACTGCTGCAGGCACAGGGATCGTGAGCTGAGACTGACCCTGGTGGCATCCCCACCTCCTGCAGCCAGGGGAAGTCAGCTCAGACAGAGGGGATTTCCACCAGGAATGTCGGGATTTCCTAAATCCACTCCCTCGGATAGCGGGATTCACCACTGCTGCTACACACTTGCCTCCTGCAAGCAGACAGACCCCTTGTTTGGGGCGGACCCCGAGAGCCAGACCTGATCTCTTTGGGAAGTGAGTCCCAAAGGATTTGGGACAGGATTTGAAACATTCCTCCTGTGGAAACCATCCAGAGGGATGAAGCTCCATGGGCAGACCAGCCTGGCCACCAAAGCTCAGCACCCACCAGGACTCAGCACACATCATGTGTCCAGTGGGAGCTGGCTCTCACCATCCAGCAAAAGGAGGGAAGGATCCATTAGGAGAATGGGGAAAACACCCTGCTGCTGCTGCCAGGCATTCCCCTTTAAAGTGAGAGCAAGAACTGGTTACAGCCCATTTCCTCCAGTGCTGACCACTTACCTGCTGCCCTCCTCTTCTCTCTGGAGCCAGGAGCATCCATCCCATGTGGGACAGCACCAGGGTGGGAAGGCAGCCTGGCCATGGTGTGCCAGCACCACAGGGGACAGGCCTGTCAACCAAATGCCCATCTGCACCCTCTCTCACATTCATGCTGTCTTCTCTGTGCTCACTTACTTCCTTTTCTGACCTTACCCATCATGGTGCTGCTGCTCTTGGTCTCTTCCTTCCTTCTTTATCCATTCTGATAAGCACCATTTGCCAGCTTGAAACCACAACTGCATGCTCCATGCACACTTTCCGGCCAGTCCCAGAGAGCATCTTCCCCATTTCTACTTCCCAGGGTAACATTTGAGGTCCCTGCTCCACATCAAGGAACCTGAGACACTGAGGGATGCTTGTCCAGAGCCTTCTCAACCTGTTCCTCACGGGTTTTAACCACAAGAAATGAGGCTTTTCCTCCTGAGCAGCCTGCCTAGCCCTTATCCATGGCTGCTCCCATGAACTGTGTTTCCAAATTGATGCCTGATGGGATGGCAGCTGGGCTAAATGGGGAAATCCAGCCTCTTCTCTACCCTCATCAAGATCTGAAGCTCTGGTCATGATACCCTTGCTCTTGCATCCTACCTACACACAGAAAACAATCTCAAAGCCACAGGAACAAGGTGCAACCTTCCACAGCCAACACAAGCAAGCCAAATGCTGCTTGGCATGAAGAAAGGGGCAGGACCCATATGGTATCAGGTCCTATGGGCTGATACCATGAATACCTACAGCATCCACCACCCCATGGGACCCTCGGCTCATCTTCCTCTTGCAAAGGGAGAGGATGCAGGGATGAGCTGGGAGCAGTTGGAGCATCCATCCTGGCTCTTCTCCTTCTCCAAATGCAGCTGAGGGTGAGCAGCACTCCCTGCTCCAGCATCCAGCAGCAGCCCCCTTCCAGGGCCTTCGCAGCTTCCCTCCCACTGCTGGGACCACAGGGAATTCACGGTGTTCCAAGGAAAAGGCAGCTCTTCCTAAACCCCATCTGAGTGCCTCGACCCCTGGCTCTGCCTTTGGTGTCCTCAGGGAAACGCTTGCAAAGCTCCAGGCAAAACCTCGAGGAGATGAAAAAGCAGCATCCAAGGGAAAGGAAGGGGAATGTGGTGCCTGCTGAGCCCAGCCTGGCCTTTGGGGAGCAAGAGACAGCAAACCCCACACCGCAGCCTATGCTGGGACACAGCCAGAGCGTGGGAAGGGCTGGGGACCGGATGGGGGAAGCCCCATAGGGAATCTCCAGCGCTGTGGGTGTTTTGTAATCCCTTGGACCACTCTCTGCCCTCCTCCATGGGTGTTTTTGCAAGGCAGCAATAACGGGTCATGGCTGTGTCCCGCACGTGACAGTGCCAAGGGAATGGGTGACATTTGTGACCATGTCACATGCTGTCCCTGCTTATAGCCTGGGGGACAGAAACCCCCTTGACCCACTCAGAGTGGTCAGAGGGACTATGGGGACACTGCGTGATGCTCATGGCTGCTGTGGATGGGGCGGGCTTTGACTTCAGTGATGGGATCAAGTCTAGGGTTGATGTGGGCTGTGAGATGTCAGGCTGTGGGTTAATCTGTCCTTGCAGAAGTCCATCAGATGCAGTTTTGGACCCTGGTCCTCCGCAGAGCCTGAGGGTGGATGGAGAAGCAGGATCCAGTGTGGGAGATCTGCTTTTGAGTGCCTTTCCCTTTGCTTTCAATGGCTTTCTGGGTCAACAGTGTATCCCTGAGCCCTGCAATTAGTGCTGTTGTGATTAAACATGCCACTGTCACCCCCAGCTGCCAGTATCAGGCTCAGCCCAGCTACATCATCCCTCCCTCACACTGGATGGGGATGCACTCAACCAGGGCTCTTGCTCTCCTAAACCCTGCTGCTCCTCATCATTTGGTTGAGCAAAGATGACTTCTCCATCAACACTTGTCACTTGTCTGCCTCTAAAAGCACTGGATTTGGTATATGGGAAGCCCAAGCACACCAAACACATCCCAAAGCTGTTCACAAGAGCATCCCTCCCTTCCTTTCCCCCTTTTCCACCTCTCACTGTGCTGCATTCCAGGCAACCAGCCCAGCACCCTTGCCGTGGTTCCCAGGGGCATGCTGCTCACCCATCCCTCCTGCTGCATCCTAACTGAGCCCTCAAGAAAAGCACTGGGGGTTAAAGAGCTTTTCTAAGTGCATTCACACAATGTCAAGGCACTCCCTTATTTTTAAGGGTTTTTTTGTTGTTTTTGTATGCAAAACCCCAAAATCCCCAGGTAATAAATAGCACACACAAAGGCCAGCTCAGGCAAACAGCTGGCCCTGCATAGAGCTGCATGCAAAAGAGCCATCCCTGCTTGCAAACCTTGCAGACACGAGTATAAGGGGACATTGCAGACACACACATAAGGGGACATGGATGCGGGATGTACCTCCTGCAGCAAGGTCTCCTCGTACTCCTGCAGCTGCTGCTGGAAGCCGAAGTTGGGGCTCACAAAGGACCTCACGGCCCTGGTAGCGGCCAGGCAGCGCTCCCAGCCCAGCTCGGTCACCGTCATGAGATAAGCCACCAGGACAGTGGTGCTGCGGGATACCCCGGCCAGGCTGGCACGGAGAGAGGGAGCAGTGTCAGGGAGAGGTGTTCCCATCATAACGATTAACACACGTCATTTGGGATGCATAGGGATGCACACAACATAGGGTTGCATCTCCCTATGGACGCCCCTCCTCAGTGGGGTGCTAGCAGGGCTATGGTGGGGGTAAGGAGCTGCATGGACATACAGTGCTGCTGGAGGCTGTGAGTAGATGGATTCCCCCATCCCGCCTCTTTGGATGCTCTGGTTTTCTGTGCATGGAGCATACATCGCTCCCTACAACTACCTGAAAGGAGGTTGCAGTGAGGAGGGGTTGATCTCTTCTCCCAGATGAGTGATAGGACAAGAGGAAACGGGCTCAAGCTGTGCCAGGGGAGGTTTAGATTGGATATTAACTCTCTTATCTAACAACTCTCCAATCTAATCTGAGTCGAATCTAAGCCAAACTTTTCTACCAACTCATCTTGTTGCTGCTATCCAAGTACCATAGTGGAGATGGCATTCTCACTGTGAAAGTAAGCATGGCTTGCTGTCTCCTTGTTAAATATAGGCTGTAGCTGTGAAAGGCAGCTGACATAGGAATAATCTCTTCACAGAGAGGGTGATCAGGCACTGGAACAGGCATCCTAGGGCACTGGTGGTGTCACCATACTGGAAGTGTTCACATACATGTACATGAGGGCCTCAGTGCCATGGGTTAGTGGTGGCCTTGGCAGTGCTGGCGTAAAGGTTGGACTTGATGACCTTAAAGGTCTTGTCTCACCCGGCTGATTCCATGATTCTGTGATCCCCATGGATCTCAGCAGCAGAAACCTTCCCCTATCACCCTCCCACTGTTCCTTCTCATCTTCCTCCCCACCACAGGTGACACTTGATGCTGAGGACCCTTTCTGGGACCCCATTCCCACCTCCCAGAGGACCAATGCCAAGGGAATGCGATGGGGTTCCGGCAGCTCTCACCAATGGACGAGGCAGGCTCCCCCACCAAGCCGGCATTCATGGATGAACCGGATGCACTCCCTAAAATGCTGCAGCCTGCAAGGAGAGAGACAGGAGGTGAGGATGGGAGGCTCCAAACCACCCCAGCCGCAGCCGTCGCATGTCCCCCACAACAGGGCTATGGGATGGGAGCAGGGATCCTCCCTCTGCCAAGCAAAGGCAAAGAGGATAATGGTCATCTGCAAGGAAGGAAGTGACCTGAGAGGCTTTCCGGGGTATTTCCTGCCTCCTGAGGGCTCGGGAACAGCAGGATGCTGTCAGCCAAGGCAGGGCAGGGAGACAGCCTCCAGGGGATGCCGTCACCTTATGCCCAAGGGACATGCACATTCCCATGTTAGAGGCTGCCCTGAGCCATTGGCTCACCCCCAATTCCCAAATGATGCCAAAAACACCCAGTTCCCTCCAAGGTGAAGATGCTGGTAGGGAAGAAGGCAGGAAAAGTTGGCTCCCAGGGTTCACTGCCTGCAGATCCCAGAATAGTGCAACTCGTTTTTCCTTCTCACCCAAAGAGCACATCCAGCCCCTTCCCACCCATTACAGGGATGTAGGATTTAGGGCTGCCAGCCACAGACAGCTGCCTACATCCCTCAAAGCACAACCAGCACCCCAGCAAGGCAGAAGCAGCACATTAACCCAAACCAGAGAGTTTCACAGCAAAACAGGGCAGGGAGCCAGGGCTTTCTGCTGCAAAACCCTATGGTGCTCCTCTGCTTCTGACCTGGATGCTTGGCCCTATGGGCAGCACCCATCTCTTTGAAGGTATGGAGACATAGAGAACAGGATAAACAACTCCACATGTGTTGATGAGACAGAGATGGGTGCTTGTGGGAGGGTTATGCAGGGTCTGGTGAGATGCATCCCTCCTGCTCATCACTGGATGGGATGCTGGACACTGCTGCCAACCCTTCCCAAAGGCAGCGAGCACCTCCAAGAGCCCACACAGAGTCAGGTACTCATCTCCTCAGTGTGTGTTTGCCATAACCTGCTCACCCTCGCAGCTGCACTGAGCCCTGTGCCAGTTTTGAGGCAGAAAACCTGATTCTGAGTAACTCGGGCAGCAGTGACTGTCTGGCCCCCATAGCCCCAGCTTTATGGGGAGGAGAACAGGGTCCTTTTGGTGCCTGGCTGGGAGTGCAGGAGCAATCAGCGCTCTGCCACAGCTCTGGACTTCCTCTGGCTCCGCATGATGGGGTGGGTGTCCTCCTGCACAGCCTTCCTGATTTCTCAGAAGCCAAAGCATGAGCTAGTACAGAGCCCAGGGCTCATTCCCAATGGGGCTCAGAGACAAGGCAGAACCCTCCTAAACCTCCTCCATCCCTGCTAGCCCATCAAAGGGTAAGCTCTTCCCCCTGTTCTACACCTTCAGAAACCAACCAAGGACATATTCAGTAACAGGAGGGGGCTCTGCTGGGATGGAAGTCTCCAAAGCTGTGGTCATAATTACAAATATGGAGCTTTTCAGACCTGGATGTTGTCAGTCTATTGCTAATCATGGCCTCCTCAACCACTACAGCAAATGCAGCATCACCATCTGGGTGCCTTTCCCTGCCTAAAGCTTATCCCAGAGCATTTCAGCTTATCCTGACCTGCAGAACATTCCCCAGGGCCTCTGCATGTGGTGCCTACACAGATCCAGGCTCTCCAGATCCCAGTCCTGCATCCTTGGCTTGGACCAGCAGGGATGCACAGTGCTTGCACGGATGTGATGCTCTCACCTCCAGCTCCCTCTGCCACCCTCCAGCCCACTCCATGCAAGCAGCATCACTCTCCCACCCCATCCTGGAGGGAGGTGAGCACTTCATCCACCCCATTCACCCTCACCCACCCCACAGGGGCTTTTCCCCCTCCAGGCATGGAAAAGCTCTCTCCATGCTTTTCCAGCCTCAAAGCATGGAATTGGGGCATGAAGCCAGCAGTGCTGAGAGCCGCAGAGATCCGGAGTCACAAGCATCTCCTCTGCAGGACACAAAGTTCACCAGGATTGTGAAATTCAAGGCATAAACTGGCAAGCAGAAAATAGTTCCTTGAATAAGTCTTCCTTCCGGCAGCCACACTTTTTTTTCCCTTCTCCCTTTTTTTCTCTTTCCCTTTTGGTAGATGTGCCTCAAATGCAATGAAATGGGGGAAAAAAATAACACCTAAAAAAACCCCATTTCTTGCTGAGGCAGGGTTTTCTTGTAAAGCTTCTCTTTCTGCTCAGCGGGAGCATGAGCAAGCAGAATCCCATCCCGGCACAAGGCTGCTCACAAGGATGTTGGAAAACCGGTATTTCCACAATGGGGCTCTGTCCAGTCACTTTGCATTAAGATTTGATGCTTTTTAGTTATTGAAGAGGAAAAAAAAATGCCCATTTTCTGGTTGAAGTGCGTGGTTTATGGATGCTAAAGCAGCATCACAGTGCTGCAACCCCCGGTGCCATCACACCCCAGCACCACATCCCATGAAAGCCTGGGGCTTCCTTGCAGCACTTCCCACCAGCTTCATTCTCAGAACATTAGGAGTATCTGTGCTTTGCAGCGTGGGTGAAAAGGATGGTTTAAACAAATATTTTACTTCTCTTTCCAAGGAAATTGTATGGAAGAACACCACAAATCACTGTCTTTCTAATGCTCCAATTCTTAACCTGCCCAGTAGAAAAAAATCCCAGATTTCATGGAAAATTGAATGCAAACACACACAGAAACACATTTTAAGCCCTACAAATGCTATTTAACCTGAGAATGCTTCTGTCAAGCTCTGCAACAATACAAAGCTTTTACAGCACAAATTGAACCTTCATCCTGCAGAATCTGAGCTTTTATTGATCAAAAAAGGTCAATACTGAGGAAAAAGGACGGCAAATGACTTACAGGTTTTGACTGGAAGAATCTGAGGCCGAGATACAGAGATAGGTCATGTCCTGCAATATAAAAATGGTTGAAGTAATAGGATAAGTAATAAAATACTTGCAAGAAACACAAAAAAGCCTTAATTTCTCTCTTTTTCCTCGCCCCATATGACCCTTAGGTGAGGAGGAAGCCACAGTGAGGTGTTGGATACCACCACCCTGCTCCCTATGGACAGAGAGAAACACGACAGGTCACATCCAACCCACCCCAGGGTCTTACCCCCCATTTCATCCCATAGGAGAATCCAGGCCATGTGAAACTGCTACAGGAGCCCCTCAAATCTGAGCCACCCCTCTCCTGGGGCCCCAACCAGCAAGCCCCATGAGGAAGATGTGTATGAACACGCACTGACGAAGCCCCTCTCATCAATGAGTTATTTCCTGCCAGCCCTTTCTAATACACAATAAATCATCCTGCCGCATGTTGGCGTAGGTCAGATTACTTTCCTTTCCTTAAAACATCGCTTCCTCGAGCCTCCCTGTTCCGAGCTAAAATTAGATCCTTTTCATCTGAGGTTCTTTTTTTTTCCTCTTTTTGTGTTTTTTATTCCCTTTTCTCAGCGAAATAGATGGAAATCCTGACAGACAGAGCCAAAACAGCCGAGCACAGGGATTGCCCCATCTCCAGTGGCATCATAGATTGGTTTGGGTTGCAAAGGAGCTTAAGATCATCCAGTTCCAACCCCCTGCCATGGGCGTAGCTATGGAGAGGTCCCCCTCAGGCTGGCCAACTCCATGGGATACCCTCGAGCCCAGGGTAAATTGGGAGGCTGGAAAACCAGGATTATATAAGGAGGGAAGGGGCAGCACGGGATGGGCAAGGGGATATCTCAGTGCTGGAAAGACCCATGCTGTAAGCACAAGCACGGGCAGGCATTCCCATGCATCACATATCCGTCCTATCCACCCTCCCTAGCCCAGTCCCATGCTCATTCCTGCCACCCTGCAGCCTCTCATGGGATGGGGACAAGGTGGCACTTGCCAGCTCCTCATGGGATGCCAGCAGGCTGCTCCCTGCCTGGAAAAACACTTGGAAAGGCCAGGATAAGGGGAGAAATAGAGCCAGTGGGCTCCCCATCCATGCCCCATCCAACTGCGGCTCCTCAGCACACAGGGGATGGTGGATGCAGGCAGGAGCTTGGCAGGTAGAAGGGGACCATGTGTCAGGCAAGGGCATGAGGACCAACAAGCAAACAGTAGCAGGTTTTGTGGGATGATGGATCCCCAAAACGTGGGAATCCACCAATCCTGGGTGTGGATTCCCAAAACCTGGAAATTCATCAATCCTGGCCATGGATCCCCAAAACCTGGGAATCCATCAATCCTGACCATGGATCCTCAAAACCTGGAAATCCTCCAATTCTGGCCGTGGATCCCCAAAACCTGGAAATCCATCAGCTCTGTCTGTAGATTCCCAAAACCTGGAAATCCACCAATCCTGGATGTAGATTCCCAAAACCTGGAAATCCATCAATCCTGGACATGGGTTCCCAAAACCATGCCTGGTACTAACCAAACCTCCCCGCAGCAAGAAGAGCGACCACATAGTCCAAGCCACTGCACCAACCGGTACAGCAGCCAAACCGATCCCACTCTTCCCTGTGCCCCGATCCCTTAACAACTGCCGGGCTCCCAGTGGCTTCCCCTTCCCCGTGGTGCCCCCATCCTGCCTTGGGGAGCAGGGCCACTCGTGGGAACAGTGCTGGGGTTTGTGGTTGCGGAGCCGGGGCAGTGATTGACACATTGCTCAACCCACCATGCCTTTCCGGTTCCCCTTTCCTCCCGCCTTGCTCCGTGTTGTAAGTCACCGTGTGGTTTGTTACCCATCTGGCCGTGCCCTGAGCACCGCCAGCACCAGCTGCTGCCCCTTCCCCAGCCTCGAGCCGTTTCTCTGCACCCATTTCATGCAGCCTCCTTCCTCCTCTCTGTGCCCCACTGCACCTTACCCAATGCCTTAGGGAGGAAAGGGCTCAAGCTGATGTTTTGATGGAGCTACCTATCCATTGTGGTCCCAAAGGCTGAGGGGGATCTGCAGTCCCCTTCAACCCCTGCAACGTCTGAGGATGATGGATCCCCGCAGTCACTTTTACCCTCTGCAGCATCCCAGGATCATAAAACCATAGAACAGTTTGGGTTGGAAAGGACCTTAAGATCATCCAGTTCCAACCCCCTTGCCATGGGCAGGGACACCTCACACTAAACCATGGCACCCAAGGCTCTGTCCAGCCTTGAACACTGCCAGGGATGGAGCATTCACAACTCCCCTGGGCAACCCATTCCAGTGCCTCACCACCCTCACAGTAAAGAACTTCCTCCTTATATCCAATCTAAACTTCCCCTGTTCAAGTTTTAACCCATTTCCCCTTGTCCTGTCACTACAGTCCCTAGTGAAGAGTCCCTCCCCAGCATCCCTATAGGTCCCCTTCAGATACTGGAAGGCTGCTAGGAGGTCTCCACGCAGCCTTCCCTTCTCCAGGCTGAACAGCCCCAACTTTCTCAGCCTATCTTCATACGGGAGGTGCTCCCGTCCCCTGATCATCCTCATGGCCTCCTCTGGACTTGTTCCAACAGTTCCATGTCCTTTTGATGTTGAGGACACCAGAACTGCACACAATGCTCCAGGTCAGGTCTCACAAGAGCAGAGTAGAGGGGCAGGATCACCTCCTTCGACCTGCTGGTCACGCTCCTTTTGATGCAGCCCTGGATACAGTTGGCTTTCTGGGCTGCAAGCACACACTGAAGCCGGCTCATGTTCAGTTTCTCATCAACCAACACCCCCAAGTCCTTCTGCTGCTCTGAATCACATCTCTGCCTAACCTGTAGCTGTACCAGTCCCCTTCATCCTCTGCAGCATCCCAGGATGATGGATCCCAACAGACCATTCATCCCCTGCAGCACCCCAGGATGATGGATCCCAACAGACCATTCATCCTCTGCAGCACCCCAGGATGATGGATGCCAACAGTCCCCTTCACCCTCTGCAGCACCCCAGGATGATGGATCCCAACAGTCCCCTTCACCCTCTGCAGCACCCCAGGATGATGGATCCCAACAGCCCCCTTTACCCTCTGCAGCACCCCAGGATGATGGATCCCAACAGACCCATTCACCCTCTGCAGCACCCCAGGATGATGGATCCCAACAGACCCATTCATCCTCTGCAGCATCCTTTGCACCTCCGGCACCAACGCTCCCGCCTCAGTGTCCCCACCCGTATCCCGAGGGCTCTGCAGAGCTCCGGGCTCAGCGAGGTTTGAGTGGGGACACAAGGACCGGGATCCTTGTCCGGGTGTGCGGCTGGGCTGCTCCGGCCCCGCTGTGCCCCCCCGCTCCTCCCCGTCGGGGCCATTGACGGCCCCGGTGCCGCCATCCGCGGGCCGCCGCCGCCCTCTCGCGGTGCTCCCGGCCCCTCCAGCCCTGCGGCCCCTAAAACCCAAAGAGAGAGGGGCAGTGCCCCCCAAAACAACCGGGTCCCCACCCCAAAACCCAAGGCTGAGCCCCTTTGGGTGCAATTCAGCATCAGTGGAAATCAGCACAAGTCAGTGCAAATCAGTGCAAACCACTGCAAGTGACTGCAAGTCCAGCACTGCTTCTCTGCCCCATGCCAGGAGAACACTGTGTGTGTCCCAATTACACCCTCCCAGTCCCTAACGCCTCTGGAATGGCCCCACAGGCCCCCCAGCCGGAGCACTGACCTCCAGCACTGGCTTGGCACTATTGTGGATGGAGAGGATGTGTGTCACCCCGTTCCTCCGCAGGCTCTCATGGTCCTCAGAGTCTGGAAGTGGGAGAAGCACATGAGTTACCTGGGAGATCTGACGGCCCAAGCACCCACCAGCACCCCACATCCATCATCACAAGCCCCTTTGTCCCCCATTCCCACTGCTTTTCACTCTGCAGGGGAAGGAGACCAGGCATCACGATGCACCTCCTTAAAAGCAAAATTCCCCTTGGATGAACTGGATATTCAGCAGACTCCCCCCAAAACCAGATATTATGCTCTTGGAAAAGGCTGTTGTGTCCTCACTGTTGGAGAAAACACAAGCTTCCTGCTCCCTGCAGGGCCCAGCAAGAAAGCCAGGCGTTGTCCCACAGTAAATATTGTCTCAGCAAACACAGGGGAGGTTTCCAATGATGCCGGGGTTTCCCAGTACTCCAGCACTCCCTATGGATATCCATTTCCTGAGCTAGACTGGCACAGGGCCACTTGTGATTGGGATGGGGCTATCTGGGGGATTAGGATCTCTGGATAATGCTGAGGTCCTCAACAGGGAGCAGGCAGAGGGAGCACAGAGGGATTCCTCCAGCCTCATGGATCTCACAGCAACACAGAGGTAGGAACACAGGGAAACACAGGGAAAAGCACTCACCACGGATGTTCCCAAGATAAAGTCCTTTGACAACCTGGGAGGTGACAGAAAGGAGAGAGATTTAAGGCAGTGCCAGGCACAGATTGCATCAGACATGGTGGGAGCATCGAACTGCATGTGTGGTACCAGCAGGACCAGAGCACCTGGCACCAACCCCCCCAGGCAATGATAAACCAAGCACCTAATTAATGAACCACCTTCATTAATGAACAGCAAAGCTGATGCCCACTGAAACCACCATTCCAAACCCCTTTAGGAGCACAGAGCTCAGGAAAACTCAGCACATCAATGGAAGGGGCTCGCACAGGGTCCTGTTTTCCCATCAGAAAAGGGCTGAATCAAACAGCTCAGCCCATCCCAGCTCCTCCTTCAAGGTGGGGGTCCAGCAGGGACCCCCCCTCTCCATCTCCTGCAGGCAAACCAGCCCCGCTGCAGCTGGGATTTATTTATCTATTCTATAGCAACCACCTCTTGCAAACAGTTTCAAAGGTTGCCTCTGTCAGCGACGGATAAATAGGCAAAGGCACAGGCTATTTATAACACCTCTCTGGGCAGGATGCTGCAGTAAGTGCCATCAAGTATGTGGAGCTGGGCAATGACTCACTGCTGCAGCGTTATGGAGGAGAAAAAAGGGGCAGCTCAGAGTATTTTTGGGCTGTAAGAGCCCACCAGAGCCATTTACCGAGGCATAGAAAGGAAGAGCTGACCTGTTTGCACCCATCTGGCAGAAGACCCTTGGTTTGAGAGGCTGTAGGAATGGCACTGGGTCACATCCAGCCCCCCTCTAATTAAGCTGAACACCAGCCCATCCATGGGGTGCAAACAGCAAATGCCTGTCACCCAGCATGGCACAAGCTGTTGCCAATAGAAGGGGGACACTGAACCCTTTAGCTCATCAAATCAAAGCAGCACAAACATGTCTGCACCAACCCATCCCCTGGCAAAGGCAGCCTGGGCTCCCCAAGTGGGGTCGGTGGCACCAGGGGGGCTGTAAAAGCCACTCTGTAGGTGAGGCTGCATGCACAGGGCATGAAATGCCGGTGTTAAACCACACCAGAGCCATGCAGAGAGAGTTTGCCCTGATCTGGTCTCGCTGTTGTTGTCTCAGGGTCTAATTTTAAACTGAATAACGCACATACCGAACGGTTATTTAAGGACAGCAGCAGAAATCAATCCCCTCTGTCAGCCCTGGAGCTCAGCTGAGGAGCAAGCAGCAGCAAAACATCGCATTCCCCTTTGCTGTGTGTAGCTGCTGGGCACAAACGTGTCCCAGGGGTGGCAGGGGGAGGAAATTCCCCTGCAGGGACCCCATCAGCCCGGGGGATGCTAACGCCACTGCCTTACCACCCAAGGGACAAGCGTATAAAGCTGTACCGGTCCCCTTCATCCTCTGCAGCATCCCAGGATGATGGATCCCAACAGTTCCCTTCACCCTCTGCAGCATCCCAGGATAATGGATCCCAACAGTCCCCTTCATCCCCTGCAGCATCCTTTGCACCTCCAGCACCCACAGGCACCCAGCAACCACCGTTTGCTTTCTTAGTTGCCTAAGTGCTTAGTGCTTCAAATGGGAATGAGAAAGGGAATATCCAAAGGGTTTTATTTAGAGCATAATGGATGACATGGTCTAAGTGGAAGGTGGGCAGGGGGTTGGAACTGGATGAGCTTTAAGGTCTTTTCCAACCCAAACCGTTCTATGATCATGGTGGCTCTGAACAAGAATCCCCCTGCGCTGCAGAAGGTCCTGCCTAAGGACAAGCTGGCCACCGTCCCACTGGCCCCCAGTACCTTGGTCATTCCACTCCCCATGGTTTTCCTGCCCCCAGGATCAGGATTCAGGTGGCTTCTCAGTATCCAAGGCTATCTGCAAACAAACACCCCAAAATCACAGTCAGGACGGTGAGATCCATCACCTCCCAACAGCGCATCCCTCTGCCAAGAGCAGGAGGAAGGGGAACATGTGCCAGGAGAGGAGCATGCAGAGCCCTGGCAAACTCGGCTCACTCACAGGCCATAAGCTGCTCCAGCAGGTCCCTGCGCCGTGCTCTAGGGTGAAAGGGTTGGAGGAGAGTGGCTGCTGCCAGGCAGGGGAGGAGGAAATAAGGATCCAGGGCCATCGTGAGGCTCAGGTTTCTATCCTGGGCTCCATGAGGCTTTCACAACCCTTTAGGGAGAGTGAATGGGAGGTTGTTCCCGGCAGGAATAACTCCCTTGTCACAGAGATGCTTCTGGGCATCATTCTGGCATGCTACAGGCTGGTACAAGACCTGCACTCCATGGGATATCTCTCCCATTCATGCTAATTCATCCCAGCCACAGGAATGAGAGCAGAATGCAGAATAGGGAACTTACCTCAGAAATCAGAGCGTGGCACAAATAACCGGCAGCTAATGGAGCACTGGGGATAAATCCATCTCCCCCTCCCTGCAGGAATGGAGCTAAGAGGAGCTGTAAAGCAGCACTGCTATTCTAGCACATGCTTCAGAACATCCATTTCCAAAGCAGATCTGCCTAGCAGCTTGCTGGCCCCTTCCCAGCTCAGCGCCAGCAGCCTGCCAGAGGCACCAGCTATATGAAGAGCAGAGGAAAGCAAACCACAAGTGTAGCAAAAACCCCGCAGCCATCACCAGGCTGTGATTGTGTCATCCTTGTTACATCCTCCTCAGCGCCCCAGAGATAAGCACTTCACCTAAGGGATGTTTCAGATGTAGGAAAGGGAGCTCATGGCTTAATTCCCATCAAATCATCTCATCTTAAAAACCTCCATCTCTCTGGAAGGGAAAAGCTGGCCAGCCGCAGCACAGCAGGTCACCACATGCAGCTGAGGCCACCCCAGGGTTTCCACCTCAGCTGCTAAACATGCACATGGATTTAAAACCAATGCAGGAAGACAGCAAACTGAAGCTGAAGCTTGTTTTAGTCTTCAGAGGGGTGTTTTTAAGATGACAGCAGAAGTCTGCCTTCAGAAAGACTAGCCAAAGGGAGAAAGTCAGCAGCTACAGACAGAGCAAAGCAAAGGCACCACCTTTCTTAGCTCAGGCCCTGGAAATACTAAGCCATGAACCAGAATGTGTCCAACCCACTGTTTAATAAAATTCCATATGCTCCCACTAAACACAGATTTTTTTCCCTCCCCACTCTGCAGTGATCCCCTCCAAGCACCATCACCTCACACATAAGGCAAGGTGTGGGGTCTAAACCTATTCTTGGTTTAACTAGATGTAGTAATTCCATCTCTTCCTCACATTCCCTTCACAAGGACAGGCAGATGGAGCAGAGCTGCCATCCACCACACCCCCTGCTCTCTTCGACTTGGCCTTTTGGAGCACTGACATGCTATTTTTGGAGTGGTTACGGGATGCAGAGTCTCTGCCGTGGCTGGGATCTGCTTACCTTACATGTAGCTCTGACCTCTGCACAGCAGGATGGCTGGCTGTGCCCCAGAGACATTCCCTTGAACACACACCATCTATGATGAGATTACCCAGGAAAGCTCTGCCCGTCAGATTCCCATCACACCACACACATCCATACACCAATAAAAGGACACCTTCAAGTTCACCAGACATTTATTAGCCTCTATGTAGGTGGAGAGGTTGTTCCAGTACACAACAACGAGGTCACACATAGGTGATGGAATCATTTCATATTCAAGCAGAACAGGCTGTACTGAGTTGCCTTATTTCTTCCACTCGTTCTTCTCAAAATCCCACTGGGAAGAGATGCCTTCCACTGGATTAACCCTCATGTCCAACATTCTCTTCGTCTGTGCCGACACCCACTCATCGGAGAAGGTGTGCGGAATAGGGCCATACACTGCAATTCAAAGGCAGGTGGAATCACATTACAATACGAAGCTGGGAACTGAAGTTTCACTAATGAAAAGCTTTTTCCCCCCAAAGCCACAGGTGCCGATCACCCACACACCATCATCTCTCCAAACCTGCATTCCTTACATCCGAGTCCTGAAGCACTCAGCTCAGGCGGGATTCTCACATCGATTCCCTAGCTGTTTCCGTTCATCTCTAAAGGCTTGTACCAAGACAACAACCCTCTACTTTCACTGCAAGTAGATGAAGCCTCAGGACACAGAACAGCTCATTTAACTGCATGCTCTGCCTTGCGGCAGCTGGAAGGCTCCCCTGGGGGAGCAACGTTGGCTGGGAATGAAGCCAAACGTGGCAGAAACCCAAATGTTTACTACCAAAGCAGCAAGAAGCTTTTGCAACAGCAGGTTTCAGAGAAGGGAAGCTCTGGGATCAGCGGTATCACCGCTCTTTCCCCTCCTTTTCCTCCCACCAAAGCTCTCTCCACCACCTTCACCTCTCAGTGAGTGAGCTTCTTGAATACTCACACTACACCCCTGCTGATCTCCATAAAGAAGATCCAGAACTGAGTTTTCAGAGACTAACAAACAGCAAGTGCGAGGAGGGCACCAGCATGGCTGATGTATACACCACAGACTCCCTGGAGTGGCTCACAGCAAATCTCTCATTT